CCATATTGCCCAGGCTGATCTCCAACTCCTGACCTCAAGTGATCCGCCCGCCTTGGCCTCCCAAAATGCTGGGATTACAGGCGTGAGCCAGTGCGCCCAGCCTGGAATCCTCATATATTGCTGGTGGAAAATGGTACTGTCTCTGGAAAACAGTTGGACAGTTCCCCTTTAACATAGTTACTGTATCTTTCTGCTGGTTTTTTATTCTCTTAAGATGAAAACTTTTTCATCAGAGTTTCCTCTGAAAATAAAAGGACCTCAAAGCAAATTATATTTGGATATGACCTTAAGATGGCAGCACAAAATTACCACATAGCCATTTTACCTCTGTCTCAAAAAAGAGATTAAAAAAAAAAATGTTTTACTGCATTCCATGCTTGGAATACAGTGCAAAAAATCAATAAACATAAACCTAATGATATATCTTGCCCCCATCGCCAAAAGATGAGATCAGTCCTGCTAATAACAGTATCTCAGAGATTAGGAGCACAAGCGCCTGAATTAGAAAGACTTAGCTTTGAATTTAGGGCACCCTCAATTATTATTGTGCGATCTTGTGAAAGTCATGTAACCCTCCCTGGGCCTCCAATTTTTCATTTGTAAGTTAAAAATCACAATAATTATATCATATGGTGGTTGTGAATATTAAATAAGAATGTATTCTAATTGCTCCGTACAATAATGGCACATAATTAATGCCTAATAAATAAATTTATTTTTATTTATTTTTATTTTTTTGGAGATAGTGTCTCACTCTGTTGCCCAAGCTGGAGTGCAGTGGCACGATCTCAGCTCACTGCAACCTCCACCTCCCGGGTTCAAGCAATTCTCCTACCTCAGCCTCCCGAGTAGCTGAGATTACAGGCATGTACCACCATGCCCAGCTAATTTTTGTATTTTTAGTAAAGACAAGGTTTCACCACGTTGGCCAGGCTGGTCTCAAACTCCTGGTCTCAAGTGATCTGCCCGCCTTGGCCTTCCAAAGTGTTAGGATTCCAGGAAATTAATTTATTTTTAATAACAAATCATTGTTATTCTTAATCATGGTGTTGAAGCAGCACAGGACACATGTCAGGAGAGAAGCAACAGTACCATCAGTGCTATTTGTGTGACCCTGGGCTAGTATACTATCTCATCTTCATCTATAAGGCCCCTTCTGTTAATATTAAATCACGGTAACTGTTTAATATGCATGTGTAACACAAGTCTTACTTGTTTTCTCTAATATAAAACTGAAAACTCTCTGTCTTTTCTTGTTTTTTTAAGAGACATGGGTCTCACTAAGTTCCCCAGGCTACATTCGAACACCTAGGCTCAAAAAATCCTTCTGCCTTAGCTTCTTGAGTACCCGGGGCTCTGTAGAGCCGTGTCATTGTGTCTAAGAAATGGAAGTAATATGTTTTACTATGACACATATCAATTTATATCTTGTGATATTCAACAAGAATTTTAGTGTAATCTAACATTATAATTGCAATTAAAATATGCATATTAAACTTTTTTTTTTTTTTTTTGGTTAAAACTCTTGGGATGCAAACATAATGGCTTTTAAGGAGATTCACATATTATTTAAAATATCACGCCAGCCACTTTTAATTGTACAACTACAGGTCAGTTATCATAGTTGACAAGTGATAGTTAAAATTTCACTGTGCTTTCATTTGTGTGTGAGATAAACAAAAGGTTAAAAGTAAGAAGATACAAAAGATAACTCTGGATAATTCATAAAATAGACACTGAACTTCTAAGTAATTGAAAGCTAAATGGAGTTAGACAGCCAAAATCAACCCTAAAAGATTCATTGCTTATGCCTATGAAAAGGCCATATATTTTTAAAAAATTTATGATGACTTAGAAATAATCTTATTTCAAATTTAATGCATAAAGCACTTCAAACATATTTCACACCTATTTCACAGACAGCTCTGAATGTACTCTGAACATAGAAACAATAAGAAACATAAAACAAGTCTTTAAAATGTAAATAGACTAAAGTTTAAAGGATTATTCACTCTGGAATTTCATGGAATAATGATTTACATTAAGAGGAACAGAGGTGGTGTAATGTATTAGAGAGCAGAGCATTTCTGATACACCAATATTCTGTTTGTGTTTGGTGTTATAATGTTTACTCAGTAGCTGAAACATTTATTCATAGTCAGTTATAACCCAGGAAATCAACCATTGAATAAACTGCTATTAATTTTGCACCAGAGATTCATGTTTGAATGACCATGCATTTCATAGGTTTAAATACCAAAAGACTAATTATCCCAAAGGCCCCATTAAAGGATAGCATAGATTGCAATCAAAAACAATCCTAACACTGCTCAGCTCAAAAATGATCTTCAGCTTTTGAAGATAAAGGATATTTTTATTTCTCTACCTATTGCACTCACTAAGAGTATAGGTCATATATAGATATATATTTATATATACATATATATATGTGTATATGTATATAAACACACCTATATAGACCTCGCAAGCAATTTTCCCCAAAACCTTAGAAAAATAAACCTGAACAGTTACTTATACACAAAGATTCATTATTTTATAAAATAAAACACAAATTAAAAGTTTATCTTCCTAATCTCTGTTCAATGTTGAAATTTTCTTTTTCCTTTTAAATAGTATTTTCACAAAATGTCCTTATTAGCCTTATTCTAATACCTTCACTTCACATTCAGAATGAAAAGCGCAAGAATAAAATAATATTTTTTTTCAGTCTGGTTTTTAAGTTTCTAATTGCTCATTCTGCAAAACAATGCTGAGATTAAAGTGATAAGAATTGATGAGACTCAGAACATGTGACTCCAAAATATGGCACGTTGGCATTTGAGAAAACAGCAAAAGCAGGAAGGTAATTCTCATCTTCACCCTGCCTTTTTCTCCTGATGCAAATCAAACAACTGAGCAAGAATTTTCTAACTTTCCCCTGAATCAAGTCATAATATTCTCCTTAAAGAATGTCCAATTCTCAATTCTATACTACCCAGAAGGATAGTAGAATGTGAATATTCAGATCATTGGAAAGGCATAAATGAACAAATTAATTTTTAGCGTTTACATCAACCTAATTCACATCTCCCTATACCTGGAAGGAAGGATCCCAAGACACAGAGATGCCCAGAACAATCTGAACAAATGCCTTGCTAAGTTCCCCCCAATGTACTACCATTAGATAATTCCCCCTTTGTCCAGTTGCACTTTCCCACGACTGTCTCCTCTTTATCAAACCTACACATAAAAAAATACAAGTTTTTCTGTTTCTTGGGGTCATTACCAAATGCTGCTATCTCACATAAAACTTACACAAAATAAATTTTTGTTTTTCTCTTGTTAACCTGTCTTTTGTTATAGGGGCCTGAGTCATGAACCTAGCTATAGATCAGGAAAGAAATACTTCCTTCCCTACAGAAACCACACATAATCATAATAGACACATTTGGCCAACTACAAATTTAGCCGACTTATAGGGAACATTTGTAATGCGTTCTTGTGTTGCTCAGGAGACTTGGAAGACACCAAATCCAATCAAAGTGATCAGTATACATTTCCAGAACGAGAGTATATCTAAAGAAAGTTGAGTCTACTCAACTGCATTTTCATTCCTCTGAAGTGTTAGAGTACTAACATTTATTAATCAATGTTTTCTCCTAGATAGTAAAATCCTAGACAAGGACTGTATTATATTTGCTTTGTTCACTTATAATTGTTGAGGATATGAAGATAGTCATGTATAGAATTTACAAACGGCATAGCTGCAAGAAAAAGAATTTGCCAGCCAGAATTAAGCAAATGATTATAGCTGGCACACAGAGGTATTTCCATTCATTAAAAAATCTACTGTATTGTGCTTTTCACAATCTAAGTTTGTCCCAAGCCTATCCAGTTCCTTTTGCTATGATTTTATGCTCATTAAGTCACTTTCTCATTATAAATCCAATTCTCAATTCTATACTACCCAGAAGGATAGCAGATGTGAATATTCAGATCACTGGAAAGGCATAAATAAACAAATCAATTTTTACTATTTATATCAACCTAACTTAAGAATTTTGGTTTAAAGAAGTAAACACCCTGATATTATGTTCACCTTCAAATTAACTGATAAAGTTTTGTTTTTAAACTGCCATTTATAAAGAGATACCCTCAAGAACCAAATTAATCTCATACCCATTAATTTGGTTCTTGAGGGTATCTCTTTATAAATGCAGATGGACTTTCTTTTTTAAAATGCTGTGAAATGTATACATGTAGAATAAAGTTTACAGCCAAACATTTTCATTGTTCCTCCTGTCTTCTTTGTTTCTTTCCTTAATTTCTTATAAAACAAAACAAAACAAAAACTAGAGAGCTTGCTTCTGAGGTTGTTCTCTGTCATACAAAATCCATAAAGATAGGTATGGTTTATTGCTTATAAATTACAACATGCTTACAAATTAGAGCGTGTCAGCCAGAAACACAGCACATTTACATTGGGATTACAGTTTTCGCAATAAGTAAGAGAGTAAGATAGTCACAATCATGCCTTGAGCCAATAAAGAGCTTTACTGAGGAACAGAAGCATGATATTCCAAGTATCCTGGATTACTTGTTGTTTTGTAAGACTGATTTAGTTTCATTTCTGAACGACTTGCTACTCAAATATGGGCTGACCCAATGAAAAAATGAAATGTTTTCATACCACCTCTATGAAAAATAAATAGGGATTTTATAGATAGGGATTTTATAGATTATACCCAACTCACCTCTTAGTGATGATGAAAAAGTTCACACCTCAAGTTGCACCTCCTTCTTAGTCTGTGTTCCTCTTGTTTGACAGAGCATTGGCCCTGCCAACGCTTTTATGTTTTTCTGTTCCCACCCTTCTGCCCCTCCATGAAATTCCTTTATTTCAGTAAGGTACATTATCATTTTTCTATCAGGTGTCCATGCATGCCATCACAACACAGACATTCAACAACTTAACACATTTATAAAAACGCAGAAAGTACCTGGACATAGGCTCTGCAAGAGCGCTCTCTTTTCTGAAGCTGAATCCATTAAGACAGCAGATTAAACACAGAATAGAAAAAACAAGTTAGTGACAGAAGAAAACAAGAAAAATAAAAGAACACATCTACACAAAACACCTTATTTTGTCATTCACTGCTTTTCAGAAGAAAATGAAAGCTAAGCAGCAGCAAAATGTAAGCAAGCAATGGCTTGAAAAATAGTAGCCAACATCCTTTCAGAACAACCTAAGTGAAAACTGTATGGTATGAAGTTGTTAATGATAGCAAGAAATCTTTGAATACATTTAGTAGAAATTAGTAAAAATCAATATACTTCATTCATCTGCAATGATTCATTTCACATTAGGTTAGTTATGAATTTATGGGTGACAAAGACATGAAGTTAAGGAAATTACGTCAAAAGTTTGGAACCCATTTTTCAAAGATTATTTGTGGTTTACAGATAATATAAATGGTTAATGTGCACCACAAATCATATGTTCTTCATATATACAAAAACTTCTGTTTATCAGGAAAAAAGAAATGCCCATTCATTATGACTCTTTGATTCTAATGGGCACATACTAGAGATAACTAGCTACTGATTAAAAGAATGTGATTATTCTCCTGATTAATTGCTGCTTTTATTTCTTGAAGAATTTCTTTTGACAGTTTTGGCCAAAAATCAAATGATAGAAACTTTGGTGGGATAAGAAGTATATTTCTGTTTGTTTGTTTGCATAGAGAGTGATGTCTTTCTGGGCAAAAGGTTAGCAACAACTCATGTTATGTCCCAAACATTATTTCCTGGTGATAAAATGAATAATTAATAGCAGTTTATCCACCATGTTTAAATAAATGAGCTAAAATTTTATAAATTCATTTGTGGGTTTTCCTCTTCTTTCCTATATATATATTTTTTTCCTTAGTAGCCTTGATTGTCGAAGGAGAAAATTACCCAGTTTTAAGAAGCAGTTACCCAGATGCCTTTTGTGTGGCTTATACTCTCCCAACTGTAATTCATGCATTCTTCAATGAGCATAGAGCAGTTACTCCTCTAAAGAATTAAGTGAGGAATGAGTGCAAGTAAATTGCCAGGGCTGTCATTTGGATCACTGACTTGCATCGTAGTTTGCAGGACTCTAACCCTCCAGAATTTCAATACAGAGCACAGTTAATTTGTACTGAGTTGACTTTTCAAATCTGATGGGTTATAACTGCTTCAGGGAAAGTGGGAACCACAGGAAATGAGAGCAAGCCAGCAAGCATGTAAATAAACTTTGCCCTCCCTTCTCCTTACCCCATCATGCAAATTAACATATGACAAACCACATTATATAAACAATTGAAAAGAGCCAAATGGGTAACAAAAGAAAGCATTAAAAAGCTTCACAAATGGAAATTTGCCCATTATTTAGTTATTTAATATTCAGAGTAGGCAAGCTGATTAGCTGTAGCCAGTTAGAATGTGACATTAATTGCCAGCTTTACCTGATATTGTCAGACATCAACACCATTTTTAAATAAAGATACAAAGTACTGCTATAACAAGTCATGTTATGGATATGTAACATTAATAGAAATGACTACATCCAGTACATTATGATAACAATAGCTGGCAGCAATATTCATTAATAGCATCCAGCCAGTCTGGGCAACAACGCATTAAAATCACAGCATGCCCAGATTATATAGGTAGCTGTGGATTATATTCCATCAAGCAATTAGTTGTGATTCTATCAAGGGCATAAGTGACAAAAATAACTCCTTTATGCTCAGAATGAAAAAAATAATAATTTGCATCGAATAATAAAACTGTACCTGTTTTCTGCAGATGAAATTGCAAAACAAACAAACAAAAAACAAACAAACAAACAAACAAAACTGTTTGCCAGATAAAATACCTGGCTTTTCTGTGTTGAATAATCATTATTTAGAAAATTTATTTCCCTTTGATGAGTGAAATTCTTAACCTAGTAAGACACAGAAGAACTAAACATATTAAAAGACTACTTTGCAGTCATTTTCATTCTAAATGAGAATGTTCTTTTAGTGAATTCCATAGAGGAATATTAGTCTGGCAATGTCAAATTCTTCTTTTTTAAAGTAGTAAGGCTATCATGATATTCAAGGCCCTAAAATTCAGTTTCAATCATTGAACATCTCTACTACACAAATGCCAGTCAGTCAGGGAACACATGTCATTTGAAGGTAGCTATGCTAATATGTTTTACCATGGGGTTAATTCACCATGTGATATTTTGTTACATAATTATATTATTTATAAATATATGAAATATATTTTAAATGTTTATGTAAATAAATGCCTATTTCATTTATGTAAATATAAATGAAAATTCATAAAATGTATTTTCCCTGAAGTTAAAAACATAAATAATTTTTTTTAATTACAATTCAAATTTGCTGGAAAATATTTAAGCTTTTAACATTTTAATGTTAGTGATACAAAATCTGAGTGATTTCAAAGTCAAAAGGAAGTAGAAATTAAACTTAATTACTTGCCTTATGAATTTTTTAAAAGTTTTATTAATTAGGGTAAATTATCTCAGTTTTTAAATAATCTATAATGGATGTTAGAGATCCATCCATCCTTCCAGAAGAAGATCTGTAATATCTTCTTGTTATTATGTTCTAAAGTCTTACTTATTGATTAGACATTTATTTCATTGTCAATTATCTTAACATAAAAGTTTGAAAGAAAAAAGAAACTGCATTTATGTACATTAACCCTCTCTGAATTTAGCATACCAGAATAACTGCCATGGAAAACAGAATTATAAATTCAAAATATATATACAGAGATTACCATTTATCATTTCTTTAGATTAAGAACCACGTAGTTCTATTATTATAACGAAATAACAAAGGAATTGAAAATAACTGTTGATTCTCTTTATAATGATTATACTCTATAGAAGGGGGAAAATTAAGCAGTGAAGTCTTTCTGATTTTACGAAAACTTTAAAGACATATATATACACACACACACATATATACACACACACACACCACACACACACACACATAATTGGGGTTCTTACCTTGTTCAAACTCCGGGCAGCGCTATCTTTTCCACCTGGGGTCAAGTTCCGAAGTTGTACATCTAGGAGGCCTACCAGCTGATCCATGGCCCGGACAGAGTAGCTGATGTCCCCAGCATTCAAGTGATTTCTTGTCTGTTCAGCCAGCTCTCTAGCAATGTTGGCAGCTGTCTCACCAGATTTCAACTATAATTTTTAAACGGAATACAAAGGAAAGAGATCTCACATAAATACTTTTATTGGTTTCTTTCAATGATCATGTTTGCATGTAATTGTAATGATTGATTAAAGAAATAGTTGTTAAACTCCATCTTCATCTGGAATACACTCCCCAATTTTTCCTGCGAATTCATCTTTTTCTTCAAAACTTGACTTTAAACTCATGTCTTCAGAAAGCTCCTCCTGAGGAAACTTACTTTGAAAAATCATGTTTACCTTAATTATCTATTTGGGTAGTTAAGTCTAAGGTTTGCCCTATGGTTTTTCTCTGTGAGTTTCTGAAGTTGCTTGTGTGTTGTGGATCCCCAACCACATTGTAAGTTTTCAGAGGCACGTACACATTTTCCTTTGTGTCTAGTTTAGCACTTAGTTCACAGTGAATACTCATTAGGTGCTAAGCTCTGTGAAAATTCTACCAGAAATAAAATCTGGGCTTTTCAAAGTGATTTTCGTCTTCTTACTAACTGAATAAGGAATTTCTCTCCCGGTATGTTATTGCTTAGTTTCTAGTATTTTTTTTCTCTGAAAGTACATGCTGATTTTTCAAGTACATTCTACAAGAATATGTCAAATTGTCAACACTCCAAAAATATTAAAATAGATAAAGACCTAATACGTCATCATCATTAGAACAAATTTGTTAGCCATGGGTAATTCAAACATAGGAATATATATTAATTGGTAAGAAAGTCATGAGAAACAAGAATGAGTAAATAAGTGTAATTTCCCAAGTTATACTCTTCTTTGTTTTGAAATTAAAAAAGTAAAACAGGACTATAACACATTTACATTAAATAAATAAAAAGTGTACAAAGTAAAAATAATGAACACCTCTATTTCACCTTTCTATATTCTTACTTTCCAGAGACTCTTTATTTATTTATTTATTTATTTATTTATTTATTTATTTATTTATGAGACAGAGTTTCCCCTTTGTCACCGAGGCTGGAATGCAATGGCACAATCTCTCGGCTCACTGCAACCTCTGCCTCCTGGGTTCAAGCGATTCTCCTGCCCCAGCCTTCCGAGTAGCTGGGATTACAGATGCCTACCACCACGCTCAGCTAATTTTTGTATGGGGGTTTCATTCACCATGTTGGCCAGGCTGGTTTTGAACTCCTGACCTTAGGCAATCTACCCGTCTCGGGCTCCCAAAGTGCTGGGATTACAGGTATGAGCCACCGCACCCAGCTTTTTTTTTTTTTTTCTTTGGTAAGGCAGGTCTTACTGTCACCCAGGCTGAAGAAGTTCAGGGGCACAATCATAGCTCATCACAGTTCACTGTAACCTTGAACTCCTGGGCTCAAGGCATCCTCCCAGCTCATCCTCCAACATCGCTGGGACTACGGGTGTGCACCCATTATGCATGGCTAATTTTTTTTTTTTTTTTTTTTTTAATTTTGTAGAGATGGGGCTCCTGGTCTTATGCTATCCTTCTACTTTGGCCTCCTAAAGCGCTGAGATTATAGTTGCAAGTCTCTAGGAGTTTCTTAATAATTTGATATTATCTTTTCAAACTTTAATCTGTCCTACTGTCAGAGGCCTTCCAACCAGAGTAACTGCATTTTGAGTGAGGACTAAGAAAATGAGGCCGGGACTCGCTGACTTGCATTCTCAGAAAGTTAGGCATTCCTAGCTTCTAGATATTTATGGTTAAGGGAACAAACTAGTAATGTTTGCTAAACAGACCCAGCCTTGGGAGATATCCCGATATCCAGAGAACAAAGGCATTCCTAATTTTGCTTTAAAGACAGTAATACCAATTTTTGCAAAATATAGTAATTAAGAAAAGTAGCCGGGTGCGGTGGCTCCCAGCCCTTTGGGAGGCTGAGGCGGGCGGATCACGAAGTCAGGAGATCGAGACCAGCCTGGCCGACATGGGGAAACCCCGTCTCTACTAAAAATACAATAAATTAGCCAGGTGTGGTGGCAGACGCCCTTAGTCCCAGCTACTCGGGAGGCTGAGGCAGGAGAATTGCTTGAACCCAGGAGGCAGAGGTTGCAGTGAGTCGAGATCGTGCCACTGCACTCCAGCCTGGGTGACAGAGCGAGACTGCGTATCCAAAAAAAAAAGACAGAAAAGAAAATTAACGCTTTATCACAAACCTTTGGAGCATAGCACATCTCCCCAGTATCTCTTTTTATCTCATATATATAAATACACACACACACACACACACACACACACACACACATATACAAGCACTGGGCTGGGCACGGTGGCTCATGCCTGTTATTCCAGCACTTTGGGAGGCTGAGGTGGGTGTATCACGAGGTCGAGTTTGAGGCCAGCTTGGCCAACATGGTGACACCCCATCTCTAGTAAAAATACAAAAATTAGCCGGGCGTGGTGGTGTGTGCCTGTAACCCCAGCTACTTGGGAGACTGAGGCAGGAGAATTGCTTGAACCCAGGAGGCGGAGGTTGCCCTGAGCTCAGATTGCACCACTGCACTCCAGCCTGGGTGACAGAGCCAGACTCTTATCTCAAAAACAAACAAACAAACAAACAAACAAGCTAACTAACTAACTAACTAGAAAAAATATATATATACAAGCATTTTATCTAGGGTGGATGCTTTCCTCCTCTTACTTTTGGGAACGTCCTACCCTGCCTATGGAATAGCTATCCTTTCACCACTGTACTTTCTTAATCAACTTGCTTTTGCTTTGCACTGCGGACTCGCCCTAAATTCTTTCTTGGGCAAGATCCAAAAGCCCCCTCTTGGGGTCTGGATCCGAAGCCTTTTCCTGTAACACCATTACTATTTAAATATATAATAGTGTCATTATGTACAAAATTATTTTCTTCCCCTTTTTAAAGGTAGTCCAACACAGAAAATGGGAACACAAAGAGAAAGCCATACTCTCTGTAAGTTGTTTCACTAATGGCTATTCAGAAAGCTAAAAGGGGGACAAGTAAAACTCTTATTTAAATAGGTAGGTTATCGGTTATAATGATCTACTTGGGATGCTTAGCGTTTGTATCGGGATTGAATGTTAAAGAAACAATAAATTAATTAAACTGATTAGAACACCTAAATTATTTACAGTCATATTCTCATGTATATAGAAAAGCCTAACTCAAAAAGTAAAAACAAAAGAAAACAAAAAAGATTTAATATCATTAAGTGGTGGCAAGGGTTTGTTTCAACAAATATCACCTTCATAAACTACTATTGGTAGTGTATATTTGTATTGCTCCTATGACAGTAAATTACCATTGTCTATTAAACTTTGACATGTGAAGACTGTGTAACTCAAAGTATCAACCATAAGAAATAATCCCACAGATATACAAAGAGAAATGTTCAAGGATGTTGATTCCAGCTTGTTTATGATAAACAATAAAATGGATTATGACTATATAAAACTCTGCAGGAAGATTCATACCTTGGAATTTTCTTTTAATTAATTTTTTAAATTAAGCCAGTCAAATTTGGCAGTGAGGGGGTTATATAGCAAGTATATTGACACTAATGTTAATAAATTCTGATAATCCACTACCATCTGATCCATGAAATATTCCATACCATGAAATATTATCCAACAGTTTAAAATTATGAATGAGATCAATAATGTGAAGATTAATCTTCAGGCTATATTGTTGAGTTAAATGCAGATATGAAAGTTATTTACATATACATGCTGATAAATATTTGCATGCTATTGAGAAATATAAACACACTACGTAAGTAATTGTAAATATGCTACTTGTGAAGAAGAAATAATATATACAATATTTGTGTTTATTTATATATGTGCATTTCTATATATTTAAATATATAGAACAAAGCCTAAAAAGGGAGAATCAAAAGAAAAATCCTTACCTATAATGTTAAAATTTTACATGAAAAATATTTTAAACAATTATTATATAATCAATACTTTCTAGAATTTTTTTTTTTTTTTTCCACGAGTGCTACTTTAGATGCTACTTTGATCTACATTGATTTTGTTACATACATATCCTTGAACCCTATAATGTACGCTCCTCTAATCGCGCGTCTTAGCAGCTCTATCCGCCTTCTCGCCCGCGAAACAGCGCGCGGGACCAATCTCCATAGTCCTCTGCAACACAGCATTGCGGCTAGCTCCGCACGTCTCGCACAGAGCTCTCTCGCCCCTCCATGCGGTAGAGATTATACATATATGAAAGGACAGGTGCAGTGCGCCCGGCCTGCCACATCGATCTCGCCACGGGTCCGCTCAGCGCGAGGTCAGGCGCCCGCGCCTGCCAGTGGCTTTGATGAGATCCACCTGAGGTTCTGCGAACCAGCGCCTGCGCGCGACGACATCGCAGTGAAACTGGAGTCTGCTACTCGAAAATCGTCCGCACACAACTTAGCTGGCATCGCGTCAAGTGTACCGCCTCTGTACTCGCCTCCGCCGCCGCCTCTGGGTTAACTCGCCCAATCGCTTATCGCCCAGGACAGCAACCACAGGCATGAGAATCCCTTCCGAGCCTGGAGGGACGGACACCGAGGTTGCAGTCGAACTGCGGGAGGCATGCGCGCCACTGCTACTGTACCCGCCTCAGCGACAGCAGGACCGAGCATCGCCGTCCTCGACCCAAGAAGAAAAAGCACACAAATTCCTACGACGGGGTCAGTTAGAGTACCTAGGCCGACTACTTAAGTTCGCCGTGATGTAGGAAGTGATCTGGCTGCATATATATCGAGATATCACTGTTTCATACATTGTAGGACGAGATGCGCGTAATAACACAGGCATCTGTATCCTTTTGAGATATCTCTTTGAGCGCCCTGTGGTTCTACTACCATAAGGAGCTTTAAGGATAGCAAGATATGAAGAGACAACCTGCAGCAAATCCTAAGGAGGCCCCATACTAGAATCAGACGAAGGGAAGCCCATGATTCGACCTACATCACTTATTCCTTTTATTGATAGTTCTATCTCTCTTCACCAGCAAGCCATCTATTTATCAATTATCTATTACGACTAAGAT